AGAATTAGTGACCAATCAGCCTTTTAAATATTCCTGTTAAATTTTATGTCAAGATAGTATTAGACAAACTGGAAGACAGAGTGGAGACTAAGAAAATTATTTATAATGAACAAGTAGATTTCAGGAAGGGTCAGAGCATGTTTGACAATTGTTAGGTTTTCTTTTTATCTTCTACATATGAGAGCAGTACTACAAAACATTTGAATGTTTTGACTCAATAGAAGTAGGTTATTGATGAAATTAGTTAACACTAGCATAGATAACAATCTACGGTATCTTTTGCAGCAGTTCTCTTCGATTATATTTACCAGAATGAAATAGATTTATGTAGATTGCTCACTGAAGCAATATCAACAAAATAAGGAGCAAAGCAAGGCTGAATCCTCACACCAATATTGTTTATTACTTATGCACATTTCATTCCTTCTCATATGTCAGCTTCTCTAGAAAGTTTCCATTATATCCCACACTGATAATATAGTTATACTCTCAATAACAAGAGTTGAGTTGAAAGAATGTTTAAAAAGCTAGGGCAGTGGTGGCGAACCTATGGCACGCGTGCCACAGGCAGCACTAAGAGCCCTCTCTGTGGGTACGCGTGCCGTCACTCCAGCCCCACCTCCCACCGCGGCCCCCCCTCACCAGCAACCCCTCCGGAGGAGAGTCACCCCCGAGCGCGATCCATGCAGAGTAGTGCAGCCAAGGACAAGATTTTACCCTCACGCCCTGTCTCACGAAGTTGATGCTACGGGGCACAGGCAGAGGGCGTGGCTGCCATGGCGCTGCTGGGCCACCTGGGCGATTTGCGGCAGGCCGTGGAGGCGGTGGGTGGCCCTGCGGGTGGGCAAGGGGTGGGTGGAGCGGGGCAGAGTGGGCAGGGCAGGGGCGGAGCAGGCAGGGGCGGGCGGGGTGGTTTTTGGGCACTCAGTCTCTAAAAGGTTTGCCATCAGTAAGCTAGGGCATTACAGGTAGTCCTTGTTTAGTAATCACAACTGGGACTGACAACGCAGTTAATCAAAGCAGTCACTAAGTGAAAGTGCACTTTCCTTTGCTTTACAAACCTGCAGAGGTCATAAATGTGAGCATTAATACCTTTTCATTGCTGTCATAACTGTGAACAGTTCTTAAACAAGGGCTATCTATATGTGCATATAAACTTATGTAGTTATACAGCATGTGTACACATATCATTACCTCATGAAGTGGTATGATATGTTCAATGGAGTCTTCATACAGGCTGGATAGCCATCTCTCCAAACTGTTTTAGCAGTTCTATGCTGAGCAGGAGATTTGACTACATGACCTTTGAGATCTCTTCTAACTCATGATTCTACACGTAGTGAAAGAGTTCCAGCACGGTACTTTATTGAATTAGAAATGGTTATCAAAGAAAAATTTTGGTCAGCTGTTTCATTTTAACATTTGAGAAGGAAAGGATCAAGTAACAAGGAAGTAAAGCATTGGCTTGGCATTAATTATCATGGGATGCCTTCCGACATAATATTTGCCACATCTGTGATGAACATTTTATAGCTAAGCATACCAATACAAAGGAGATAGTTTTAAATCATGGTTTTTGATCAAGCCATGATGGACTGATTCACACATCACTCAAGTCAAAAGCAAAGAAACCAACACATATCAGGCCTTAGATTTGTAGGCAGGCAAAAGTATTCATTGTGTATTTCACCTATTCCTTGTTTATCCCTTCATTCTATGCATATGTTTTAGATGAATTTCTGCAAGGATATGCTCATGGGGAAAAAAATGAAGCCAGGAAGTACAAAGTATGCATAATCATTTGCACTTCTTGCAAAGTAACATTTGCAGCCAATAAGTTGACATCAAACCGTGTTCCAAGCTGGTTTATGGTCCAAGAGTAAATTCTTGTTTATTCAGTGATCATGTGCATGCCCCATATTAAGTCTTAAAAACTAGCATATATGTAATGGCTTAGTGCAATATGTGACTCAATTTCTAAAAAACTGCAACTTAATGTAAGCTGGGTGGGTAGATGATGAAGTCTGAAAATTTATGTGTGGTGTAAAATGAATATACATTTAGTAATTTTGTTTTAGGACACTGGGGAGGAAGGATGGTGGAGAGGCTTTCTTAATGGTAAAGAAGGAGTTTTTCCAGATAACTTTGCAGTTCAGATTCATGAATCTGATAAAGATTTCCCTGTAAGTACTTATTGTAGTTTTTAAAAAGTTATAGCTCTTCTTTAAAAAGCTGATTTAATAACCAAGTACCGTATATTCCGGCGTATAAGACGACTGGGCGTATAAGACGACCCCCAACTTTTCCAGTTAAAATATAGAGTTTGGGCTATACTCACCGTATAAGACTACCCCTGTTCCAACGCACACCAAATAAAAATTAAAAAACAGATTTGATTTCAATATGGTAATTTTAATTCAAATGCTTATGACATGCAGGTACTTA